ATCAATTATTTTGTTAAAACAAGCAGAAAGTTCCTTGAATCATTTAAATCGAACGCTTAGTTCTCTCAAAAACTGCTATTTTTTTCAACATTTAGCTTTGTATCTTCGAAATGGCCGGGCCCACCTTTGCCAAAAACTAATAACCACTTCTCCCAATCATTACTAATTGAATGTTTTTTAGATCATTCAAATCGGATACTCCGTTCTCTCAAAAACTCGATTTATATTTTCTGCACTCTTTGCTCTTTATCTCCGTAACTGCTGGACCTGCCTATGCCAAAAACTAATCAGCACATCTCCCTATCAATAGGAATCGAATGTTTTTTTAACCATTCAAATCGGTTGATCCGTGCGCCCGAAAACGTGACCAAAAAATTTTATCCATACATACATACACACACACATTCATTTTTTCTGAGGTATGCCAAAATGTTCAGAAACCTTCAAAACGTCGAGAAATGTAAAAATTTTCAATTTCGATTTTTCGACGATTACAATAACTTACCCTACGGGAAGTTAATAAAAGATTCCTTAGATGTGTTTTGGAAACTCGAAAAACAAAAGCATTATTTTTAAACCGTAGTTCAATTATGACTTATTAAATAGGAGTTCTTATAATATTTTATAAATGTTGAAACAAGTAACGACTTAAATTAGGTTGGAAGTAAGCAGGAATAAATGTAAGAAAAAATTGGGATATGAAATTGGATCTCATTAGAAGCGAAATGAAATATGATATTATTTGCCAAATAATGGTCAAGCACTTATTTAAAATTTATCAAGTATCGATAATTATATACGCATTAATAAGATAACTTAATTGCATGCTATATCAATGAAAAACTTCATTTTATTGATTTTTAAACAAAATCGTAATCAAGTAATAGATAAAAAATTGATTGAATTAGTTACTTTTTGTATGACTGTAATTTTTACACAAGTTTGAAGTAATTCTGTAGCTCAATCATGATAAAATATTAATCATTTTCGAACCACGTGCGAAGTTAATTTAAATAGTTGGCACCAAGTGGTAAAAAATCAATAAAACCTATTTATTTACAACGTATCAAATTACATATTGATTTTTGACAGATCATAAATTCAACAGATTTTATCTTTTATCCAAACACAGAAATAAATTACACGTCTAATGATTATTTATTTGCTACCGTTACATAAATCAATTACATCACGCTTAATCCAATTTAGTATTGATTTTCGACAAAGAGAACTTTGTATTTGTAAGCTCTCTCTCTCTGAATGTATATATAAATTATATTACTGCAAGCTCACACGAGCTTCGAGTGCTACAGAATGCAAAAACTAAGATTGAGTTAATATTGATGCAAGTGGAAGTTATGATTGAAGGCAAACATTTGCGATAAATAGGTATTTTCTACTGAGGTACTATATGTGTATTATTTCATGCGCGAGATGCGCACATGGTTTTGAAGCAGTTACTCGATATATATATATATATATATATATATATATATATATATATATAGATACAGTGGTTCCCCGCCTTACGAGCGCCTCGACATACGAGTTTTTTGAGATACAATTCAACGGAGCGATTCGTTGCTTCGTCATACGAGCAAAATTCTAGACACGTGCGAGTGAGAGGCAAAATGTGAACTTATGGGGGTGCGAATGAAACAGATTCACCTAATATCAATTTTAACAAAAAAATTCGTATGTGAAGTCGAATTTAACTATCATACAAATAAAGAAAATTATTTTAAAGTTTCAATTCATTAACATTAATCTTGTGCATTTCTTCGTGCAATGTGGGCAAAGTTGAGAAGTTTGTGAATAAAAATCACCCCGAAAAAGATGCAACTGATCGAGCATTAGAATTGTTTGACGAAACATGTCCAACTCATTTTCACAATACTGTAATAAATAAGTTGAAAAAAAAATGATGCTCATTGGATAGTTATTTTAACTTTCCTTAGGGTAAATTATAGTAATGGGCCGAAAATCGAAAATTAAAATTTTTGTTTATCTTCACGTTTCAGAAGTTTACCTCAGAAAAAATGGATGTGTATGTGCGTTTTGTGTGTACGCATTTTTTCGGTTACGTTTTCGGGCGCACGGATCAACCGATTTGAATGGTTAAAAAAACATTCGATTCCTATTGATAGAAAGATGTGCTGAATAGCTTTTGGGAAAGGCAGGTCCAGCCATTACGGAGATACGGAGCAAAGAGTGCAGAAAATAGAAATCGAAGTTTTGACAGAACGGAGTAACCGATTTGAATGGTCCAAAATACATTCAATTTGTAATGATTGGGAGAAGTGGTGTTTAGTTTTTGGCAAAGGCAGGTCCAGCCGTTTTGGAGATACCGAGATAAATGTGCAAAAAATGACAGTTTTTGAGAGAACTAAAAATCCGATTTGAATGATTCAAACAACTTTCTGCTTGTTTTAACAAAATAATTGCTGTTGGAAAAAATTGTTTATTTAAGAAAACATCAAAAAAAAATTTTTGTTTAATTTTTTTGTATATCGAAAATAATTCAGCTTTTAATTTTAGTTCTGGCTTAAGTTCTAAAGTTCACTTATATTACATACATACATAATTTTAACTTTGTAATTCAGTTTATATAATTTTTATAAATATTAGACAATGTTATAGTATTTATAGTATAGTATAGTAATTAGCTATGTTTTCGCAGAATGTGTATTTGATCTTAGGAATAATGCTTTATTTGTTTTATTATCAAAAAACACTGCGCTGGATCGAATTAGTGTCATTTCAGTGTATTTATATGAAAAAATTGCTTCAAAATACGAGTGTGGTTATATACCTATATATATATATATATATATATATATATATATATATACAGGTATTCCCGAAGAAAAGTGCTTCCTGAGCCTATGTTAAGAAAATCTTATTATAATTCATTTTATATTGCCTCTCAAACCGCACTTGTCAAGCGGGCTATTTCCAATTAGACACAACATATTTGTAATGTATATTCTCAAATTGGATATTGTTGGTTGAGGTTGAGGTACTCGCTTTCAAGCAGGGGACTTCCTTATATATATATATATATATATATATATTTATATATATAATATATATATAAAATAAAATCTCATGTGAGAACCCCCTTTCATGAACACTGTTACATAAAAAGTTGGCTATAAAGAATTTTATATTTTATTACCGAATCTGTTCTACATATTTTTTTGTTTTGTGATTTACTTTCAATTACCTAGTATTAAATTTATCTAGAAGGCAACCCTAAGGTGTTGCGTTCTCTTTGTGACTGAATTACTAGATAATTATATAACGATGTGATTACAAATGCTTCAGCAATGCCCTTAATAGCTATTTTCCCTTTTGGAAACTTGAATATCAACAATGATAATCTGTGAGATAACTATATATATATATATATATATATATATATATATATATATATATATATATATATATATTGAAATTGGTATCTTACATCAAATGATATGAAACAGCCCAAAAGATAGCACTAACTTGTCAATAATCATGAATTATTTTCCTATTATGTAGATGAGTAAAATAATGAGATTTTTTTAACAAAACTGTAGATAAATTTTGATATTCTTGAAAGCGAACTTATAATTGCTACAGTGTCCGAGGCCCATGTCACAAGTCCATTTTCAAAAATCTTAATTCTATCAACATTTCTGTTAAACAATTTAGATTTTTTTACCTATCTACATAAAAGGAAAAAACTCATGATTATTGACAAGTTATTGCTATTTCCACATAGTTTACCTATCTACATAAAAGGAAAAAACTCATGATTATTGACAAGTTAGTGCAAACCCTTTCCACTCGGATGCAGCCGCTCCGGAGGCAAAATTCATATAAATCTTGAAGTTCGCGAGTGGAAAGGGTTAATGTAAATGCTAATTTTTGCGCTGTATACACGTTATTTGATGTAAGATACCAATTTTGATATCCAGTGATGATGGATGGCATTAAATTGTATGTCAAAACGTCGGAACTAAAAATTAATTTAAAAATCTGTAATTGCTTTTTTGCTGATGTATCGCCCCAAAAGAAGTTACTCATATATATTATATATATAAGTATACATATATATATATATATATATATATATATATATATTAATTTGGAAATATGAACAAACAACACTCTTTTTTGCACTAATTTATTAAATAATAATTTTCACAAACGTTTAGAGACTAGGTTTGTCTCATCATCAGTGTGTTATAATTTAAAATTTAAAATATGGAAATCTAAATTAGCATTTTGTGTTATCCATTACAAGTCGCTCGATTATTGAAAATTATTATTTAATAAATTAGTGCAAAAAAGAGTGTTGTTTGTTCATATTTCCAAATTAATTTAATATATATATATATATATATATATATATATATATATATATATTAAATGGTAGAATCTTGGATTTGTGTATATTTTGTAGAGTTTCGAACAAGAATCCAAAAGTAATAAAAAACAAGAAAAGTTTTTTAATAAACAATTTCTTTCTTTATTTATTTATTTACTATCGACGTTTCGGAACTAGGTACGTTCCATCTTCAGGACATCTGTCAAGAAACATGATCTTGATGAGATTTTAGCAAACAATATGTTTAAGAAAAGAAAATGGATTTTTCTTAAATGATAAATTAATTGAAAAACTAATAATGTACAGAAGTGTGATAATATGATTAAAATGAAATTGATATATATATATATATATATACATATATCTTGATATTGTTTGTTTCGGCTTTGAAACATTATATGATAAAGTTCGAAACGTATTAAAAAGATTTATATTTACGTTCTGGTTTTATTTTTTCGACTTGTGGCTGAAAAACTGTATCATATATATATATATATATATATATATATATATATATATATATATATATATAATATGCGTTATATATTGTGTAGGTATGTGTGTGTAAAGACTAAGTTTCTATTAATGAGATTTAGCTTTAGGCTGTTGTTTTCGTGCGACTTACATATAGTTGCAGTTGTGTACATAGCCGGGGGCTATGGGACCCGAAGCCCGGCGGGTTAGGCTACGCACAGACATGACTTTGACCAGGTTGTATCTGCCCTCCAGGCCTATTTAGTTATCCTGCACAAGCACAACACCACACGAGCTTTCTGAATATTGACACTAGCACATCATTATCTGCCGATTACATGGAACCTTTGATAATATATCTTTGTGTTAAAAAGTTTACTTCAGGCATAAGTTGTCGCGAAGTCGTTGTTAGTAGAAGAGCCTGCATTTTGGTTTCGGCAGGATCCCTTCGGTGATCCATTACATGTCGTTAACATAAACAAATAACGTCGTCCGATAAACATACGCGTAGCGCAAAGAACTCCAATCATGATGGCATATCATCGAATAGTTTGTGAATAAGTTTCGTCTGAATGTCATAACTCATTCCAGATGAATCGGGCGTCCCGTCATGATAGATGGCCCTTGTCTGTAGTGCCTGCCTGAGTTGGCTGACAGGTGCCCGAGCGCGGCTGTACTGTCTCCGCCGAGTCTGCGACCGAACTGGAAGTGACAGCGGCCCACGCGACAGGCAGCGCCGGGTGGCGACCGCCGGAGTCATCCGGGGCGATATAGTACGAAGCGGGAGCGGGACGAGACCGTACGACGGCGTACGACGCGGTACGACACCGTCGGCCGAGGAGCGCGATGAAGGACATGGTATATAGGTTATGCACGCCCTGTAAGCGAACTGCTCAACCCAATCGATAAATGCGCATGTTGTGTATACCGCACCGCACACCATCCACTACAATTGCCGTTACGTGTACGTGGCGTAGGTGTCTCATGTGAATGTGTATTACATATTACATATTTGCCAGAAAACACACTCATCGGGAAAAAAACACCGCACCGAATACGAATACGACGACTATAGCACTACTTCCGATATTATTCAAAACTACATTATATAATAAAGGAGTATTCTTAGAAATTCAATACATGCATGTACAACTGTACAAATTTGCAAACCGTGAGGCTTTATGAATGTAAGGTATGAACACGATAAAAGAAATGAATTATCTTCAAAGTGTTCACAAAACTGAGAAAATCTTGAAAATATGAAAGAAGGTAAAAGAAAGAAAAATAATTCAAGAAAATTTGCTAACAATTCTTGAAAGAAACTAGTGCTGCATGCATGGCATTGTGCCTTAAGGCAAAATATGCTGGAACTTCCTGTATCGAAAATTAAAATCTTTAAAAATTCAAATTTTTCTGAAAACTGAAAAAAAATTATTTGAAAATTTTGATTTTTTTTTTTTGAAAAAATGATTTTTTTATAGTTTGAAATTTTGAAATTCTTGAACTTATTTTTAAAGCAATCGCACTGCTTAGCTATATTATATTTAAAATATCAAAGCGCATTAACACTTTGGGGACGGCTGTCCACTTGAGTGGCCAAACATACTCTGTGAGGCACAGGCTGTTTTATAAACAATGACTCAGTTTGCATCGAAAACTTGAATACATTACATATAGCAGTGATAAACATTATTGTATTTTGAAAATAATTTTAAATTATTTTAGTAGTATTTTTAGCCTTTTTCTTTGCTATATGGTGTTTTTTTAATATTTAAAACGACCGAGCGCTTTTAAATAGTAAATAAAACGACTAGTAAATTTTGTGAATTAAGCAGTAGTGAGGATAAGTTTGAAATAGACATTCATACAGACAAATTTTACGAAATTACTATTCGCACCGATGATAGTGATGAATGTGATAATGATATATCCAACCAACAAAAAGAAGAAGTTCGACAAAATAGTTTGACATACATCAACAAACACCCCGACTTCAAATACCAAGCAATATAAGACATCCAATGGATTATTTTACTTTATATTTTATAAATGAATTATTAGACAATATAATACAAAAAATAAACCATTATGGCAGCAAAAAAATGACCAAATATACTGACTAATCAGTGGCATATTCTAAATTCTGAAAGAAAAAGGAATTGTATTGTCTGTACTGACAGAGAAGCACCAGGAGGAAGGCGGCGAACAACATTTTATTGTAAAACATTCAAAATCAACCAGCTATGCATTTTGGAAATTGTTTTGAACGTCACCATTCTTTATAAAATGATCAAAAATAAATTAATATTAAAAATGTATGTCCTTCAATGACCACAAATTTTTATCAAACAAATTGCATAACATACACAATGAAATCAAGTTTACAGCCGGTAAAGTAGATTGTTTTGAAATTGATGCCGTCCCGAAAGTGTTAAAGCTTAACGAATAAACATTGGTACGGAACCCTTAGAAACGTAAACAAAATTTGCATTTATTATTAAAATATCTATATTTACATATTTACTTTCTTATTGGGTCTCCAAAACCGCTGGACCTGCCTTCTCTAAAATTGAATCAATTGTTTAATTCGTCAATACACAAATAAAATGTTTTCTGAACCATTAAAATCGGACGCTCCGTTCTCTCAAAAACTGAATTGCCATTTTTGGCACTTTTTGCCCCGTATCTTCGAAACGGCTGGTCCTGTCTTGGCTGAAAACTAATCTTACTAATACGTCTTCTTATCAATAGGTATCAAATGTTTTTTAAAATATCCAAATCGGTTGATCAGTGTTCCTGAAATCGTGGACAAAAATTTGTATCCGAACACACACACACACATACGCATACATATTTTTTTTAAGGCACGCCAAAATGTTCGAAAACTTTTGAAACGTAAAGATATATAAAACTTTTTATTTTCGAATTTTTTGTGATTACTTATCCTACGGGAAATTAATAAAAATATAGCTATATTTGTATTGTATTTGTTGTAAGTAGCACATTGCCTTAATGCAAGTTCCATGAACTTTCCGATACGTATACATAATACCCAGGGGCCGATACTGCCGTTAAATAGACAAAAATGTTATGGCAAGGTTAAAAACTGTCTGTATTTTATCAAAGTGTGGACGTCATCAGTAATCAGTAGCTACCTACCCAACACGAAACGTGTATAGATATTTGGCATAGATTCCTATTGGAATCGCTTAAGCGCACGGCGAAATTCGATATTTCGCTAATTACAAGGAAACGGCTTGGACGATCAAATACAAAACGCTAGTCCTTATCGAGCTACATCAAATGGTTTTTAAATTTTTTAAATCTGTCCAGCCGTTTTTGATAAAACGTCGATGAATGGTCAAAAATCGGCTCGCACACATACTTTTCCCAAATTTGACGCCATTCGATTCAGAATGGCTTGAAACATCGAGAAAACACAAAAGTAGCGAATCGGAGTTTTTCACTAAAACAATTTTCGAGAAGTAGATAAAAAAGAAGGAAAAGCATTGAATGAACAAATATTTCTAATTTTTTGCTTTATATATTATCTTTATTAAAATTATTTGCAATTCATTTAGTATTGATGATATGTATTTAATATTAAATAATAATAATTTTAAATTAAATAACAATAATATTATATTAACTTAAAATGTTTGATTCCTAAAGCTGCATGGAAGATCTTAAAAAAAACTGTGTGAACATAGTCAATATAATCTGTGTCAGTTCAAACATCATTAACCCCCATAAAAATTTCACCTGAGGGAAAAACGTAACAGAAATCAGAAAGTTCGGATGGGGATCGATCAGTCAAGATTTGAGGAAAATCAAATGGTAAAAAATTGCTTTATAAATATAAGAATAAATTGCAATTTTAAACAAGCGCATCGCCTAGATTTAGTTTAATTTATTTTGATAAATGTTTTTAATTTAAAAAAAAAATAGGGTTTGTATTATCATCGAAATGTAATGATAAATTTAATGTTTTTTGGATAATAATAACTTAACTTGTTTCTTTTTTAGTTATAATAGCATTTGTATATGTTTTTATGTAGAAAGTATTTATGTCTAGATATAACATTTCTCTCAATTTTTTACAAAATCAGATCAATCAAATTTTTTTATTACAAAAAATTGTTTTTTACAGAGTAAAAACTGGATTAGTTTCTAATCAAGGTAAGATTTGTCCGTTTTATAGTAACAACAAAATATGTAGTTGATACATATACGTTAAATAGGTTTTTATAAAGATTTTAATAATCATTTGTTGCGCTAAATTTAAATTCATGTCAATGTATGAAACGGTTGGAAAACGCCCGATCGTATAGCATATAGATAGGTTTTTACAGTTTTTAGTACCAGGAAAGAAGGATAAGTCAGCGTTACCATCGGCTATGTTATCGCAGATAATTGGCCCCTAAATTTATTTTGTCAACTTGATATTTGATCATTGAACTATGATTTTGTCAGCAGATATATCAAATTATAAAAGAATATTTTATAAATAAAAAATTGCCTTGCGAAGGCATTGGTGAAAAAAAGTACTATTCAAGTACATTAAAAGCATTTCACAACTAGGAAGGATGACTACAGGGTTGCCTTCTGAAGCTATCTGTTGAAAAAACAAAAGAAAAATATATATTCATAATAAACAGATTGTGATTCAAATGAAAGATAAAGAAAATATTTATCTGCGCAAACAGAAGTTCCAGGATTCTGTAAAGGCCACGAAATCATGCCATACTGGTTACCTTTACAAGTACATCTACCGTTGTATTATAACATCAGTCAACACACAAATACAGAAATTTTCAGAAGCACAATATGAGCTAAGCAGGAGAAATGATAAGTGATCTGTTGTGAAACAAAAAGGGGACTTTTGATTTAGAACATAAAATCTTTTGTCACGAAATTATGATATACGAAATTATGCTGCTATGACAGTCATGAAAATATTTTTTATATTTTATTTGAGACGAAATCGGTAGAACTTAGATCTTGCACCACGATGTTTTAAGTTCAAATTTTGCGTTGCATGTAACCAGAAATCATGCAGTAGGGATAAGCATTTTTATTTAAAAATATACGAAATATGGTTTTAAGTATAAAATTCGAGGCATTACTGTATTTTTTTGTTAAAATTAAAGTAATTTTGTTAAGGATTGCGCGTTATATCAAAGCAAAAATGGGTCAAACATTGGGTTGCCTCTAATGAGCTTGATTGGGAAGTTTTGATGCATCCACCGTACAGTCCGGACTTCGCACCAAGCGATTACCATCTTTTTCTTGCATTGCAAAACTTTTTTAGTGATAAGAAATTGGCATCAAGGGAAGAGTGTGAAAATAAATTGCTGGAGTTTTTCGCTAATAAGGACCAAGACTTTTATGAGAGAGGCATAATGAAGCTACCATTAAAATGGC